AGAGGGACTAAAATACACTGCTGAGGGGAGCAGCGGGCAAGAGAAGAGAGGTCTGCTGCGCCATGTGGGTAACTCCCTAGCCGGCCAGAGATCCAACTCATGCTATAGTGGCTGCGGACAGCTTCATATAGATTGTGTCACCAGGGAGGCCCTGATGCAGATGTTTTAATCTGACTCCTGGCTAGGTTGCTGCAAAGGTGGTGGGTCAGAGTTCTATGGTTATAGATGATCTGGCCATTCTCCACTTGTGTATTTACTCTCTTAATAGTAACCAAAAAATAAATGAAAGCCAATAACAAAATAAGGTTATTGAGTATAGCTGCAGCCCCCATTTCTGCCTTTAGAGGATCCAGCCAGTTTGGGATTACCTTTCTCTTTCATTCAAACAAAATAGCTTGATCATTCATCCCAGGTAGAAAATCCAATGTCCAATTAAGTAAGACACTCCAGAGACTTAATATTTCTCCTTGTTACCTTTTGCTGTAACCTTTAGATTTCACTGGGGTCTTAAGTTTGCTCTTACCTTGCTTCTCATAACAATTTGATTTCCATTACATCTCTTAGCCCCACATGGGACACTGCCTCATTCTGCCATTCTCCAAAGCACTGCCATTACATACAGCATTTGCTTCTTCTTCTTTTTTTTTTTTAACCAAAGCCACTGAGAAAATGAAGAGGTCTATTTACTGTAAAACACTGCTTTAGGTGACAACCTAGAATATAAGGCTCCTCTGTCCTGATCCTCCACAGGGAGCTTTCCCACTGACCTAATCCCCCGCAGACATACCAACCCACACCAGCTCTTTACTCCAGTCCTGCATCCTGCAAGCAATCCTTAGATTCCTCTCTGGCTCCTCACCCTCCACCCTCCCTTCCTGGCTCACCTGCAAACCTGAAAATTCTTCTCACTCTATAATAACATATATGATTCAAGTCTCTGGGTCTAACCAGACCAAACAGCAGGCTGAGAATTTCTCAACCAAAAATACCCAACAAGGCATTTGCTTAAGAAAGAGAATCATAAATTCCAGAGATAAGCGATGCTATTCCCCTAGGAGACAGGAGTAACTGAGCTATATTTTTAAATCTATTTTTGTCTGCCCTCTATACAACATAACTTTGCAAAAAGCAACTATATTTTAGAGTAATAATTTATGGGAATAAATTCCACTGGCAATATAGACAATAAAAGTGATGCTCAATAATAAATATAAAAAGTGTGTGGAATTGACAAAAGAAAAAGTTTACATCTAAACAGAGGAATATAGAGGAAAATTTGAGACGTGCTGATGTGGTAGGCAGGGGTCTAGGTTAGCTTGGAGCAGGTTGTGGAAGATTCCAGAGTCAGAGGTTGAAAGTAAAGCAAAGTTTACTGAAAGTAATTTCCAAGGGAGAAGAGGGCAGAAGTCAGGCACGGTCTGTAGAAGTTAGTGACAGTCTGCAAAAGCTCACAGCTGGACTTTAGCTTTTGTATTTGAATTTCCTTTACCATGTGGTTTCTTTTTGCTCACTTAGCAAGTACTGGAGTAGCAAGTGCTGTTCTCTGCAGGTGGTTAGGATGTTGATGGTGCTGATGGGAGCAGCTGTAGTACAGGAATATTGCCAGTGGTTGGGGAGCCAGTAGGGGTGCCAATCCAGTACCCAGTTTAATTTAACCTCATCACATAATGCAATATTGGTAAAACGCAATGTTGTAAAAATGCTATGTTTTATGTTAATTCATACATTTAATGTGATTTCAATCAAAATGCCAAGCAATTTTTTTTTTTTGCAAATTGATAGAATTTTCACAACATCGACCAAGAAGAATAACAGGTGAGAATAACCAGGAAAACACAGAAAAAGAAGAGATTCTGCACTGTCATATATTTAACTGTGTTACAATGTTAAAAATCAAATTCCATAGTCTGATGGCATGAATAGGCAGATACTAGTAGACTCCAATAGGACACCCCATGAGTGAGGACTGGGTTCCCCAGCAATGACCAATCAAAATAGCATATGATTATTTAAACAAGTTAGAAGTTTGTTTTTCTATCCTCAATTAAAAGTCTAAATATAAACAGACTATAGTTGATTTCTCGGACAATAAGACTTCTATTTCTCAGTAACACTAAACAAGTAACTCCTGCTCATGGTCCAAGACAGCTGCCAGAGCTCCTGCCATTGCATTTACATTACAGTTGTCAGAAAGGAAGAAAAGAAATAAAGAAAAGTTGGCCCTTCTCACTCAGAAGTGTCCTGAAAGTTACACACAACTTTCCCTTCCATCTTGATGGCCAGACATAGCTGCAGGCTGACACCCAGCAATAAGGGAGGCTGGAGACATAATTATAATGTGAGGGAACCATCTCCCAGCTAGATTAGAAGAGTGTATTAGTAAAGATGAAGGAGAAAAAGAATGCTGGGATATTTTTGACAGGGACGCAAGGACCGCTAAAGACAAGAATATTTAGTATGGTATAGTATAATGCAGAGGTGCGTTTCCAATCAGTGAAAAAGATGGATTATTCAATAAAGGGAACTGAGATAATTGGCTTGCCTTTAGGAGAAAAGTTGAGCTAAAGCCTCACCTCACTTCTTATATCAAAATATGTTCCAAAAGGATTAAGATCTCAAGGTTTTAAAAAAATGAATCATAAAAGAATTAGATATAATGTTGGGTTCAGAAAAGTCTCTTACATCCTAACTCCAAATAAAGAATCCATAAAAGAAAAATAGACAAGTTTGACTGCATAAAAACGTAAAACAATCTGGTCTAAAACATTGTAATAAAATTTAAGACAAGTAATAAATTAGGGGAGAAATGCCAGCAATATTTTAACCAACACTGAATTAATGTTCTTATTTTCTGAAGTCACAAAAATCAACAAGAAAAAATGATCAACCTATAGGAAAATAGACAAAGGATAATAACACACAATCCATAAAATAAAAATGCAGGTGGCTGAGCAGCACTCAGTCTAGTGAGTAATAATCACTAAAGCAAAAATGAAAACAATCAGGTACTAGTTTTTAAACTATAAATGGGAGGAGGGAGGTCTGAAATCAGGAGCTATCTTTGACTGGTTGAAGTTCAAGTGCTACCACTTCTTGTGAAGGCAATTGATAATGCCAAACAAATGTTCTGAAAGGTTTCTCTGGTGTAGTTTCACTGCTGGGATGTTAAAGGAAATAATTCCAGCCATGAACGAGCAGGGACAGGCCCAGCACTCACCAGGGTTATAGTGTCACACAGGTAACCAGGAACAGGGTCTCTACCCAGACTCTGGCGGAGAGAAACTGGAGACGCGACTTTATTGCATTCAGCACAGTTCCACAATGACTGTTGCTTTTTAAAATATTGTCTGGGTCCCTTCAATTGTACCACTGAAAATTATAGTGTGGGATATGTAGAGGAAATACAAGGCTGAGTCCTATGGTGACGGAGAAGAGTATCTAATGACATGACGACATGCTGCTGAGACATATATCTGTATCTAGCGACATCTCTAGCAAGCTAAACAAAGAGCGCTGACTACAAAATTCTGCGTCCCTGGAGTATCCAGTTCTCACTAATGCCTGCTCCTAGACTCTGTTCCCAGCCCTCGCTCTCCCGACGTACTACTTTATTCCATGCTTCATTTCAACCAAAGCAACACGAGCCCAAGGGTGTTGTTAATAGCAAATTTTTGCTGAAGGGTTGAGTCATGGAATACAATTATGGCACAGGGTAGGAAACCACCTCGCATTTAATATCAGACGTTCCCTGCCTTGGGGAATTCTCTCCTGCCCACACTCCTCCGAGGCCCTGGGCTCCCCCCCACCCCCGTGCTTTCTCCCCATTGCCTTTGTTAATCCCCTTTCTGTCTAGTTCCTAGGTCCTCGTTCCCCCCAGTTTCCTGAGCTGCAGGTTAACTTCAAGTTTCCTCCTGTTCCTGTGGATAGTGATTTATTATTATTCTTTTAGTACCCCCTCCTTCTTCCACCCTGGAAGGGAATGTTGGTGAGAAGTACCCACCATTCATACTTTTGGGGGTGTGGGAGGAAGAAACATGGGGAATGTTTCTAAATTAAAACAAAGCTTCTTTGAGCAGAAGCAGCTACAATCCTGGGAGTGTGTGCATACATGTGTAACTCCTTTTTTTTTTTAATGTCATGTTAACATGTGTGCCTAGTTAGAAAAAATGACTGAAAAAATGTCCTCCAAAATATTAGCAATGATTAATTCTGATTGTTGGGATTAAAAGAGCATTTTACCTTGATGCTGACATGTTTTTCCAAGTCTACAATTACATATTTATGAACATTGTGTTTTTTTTTTTAACATTTATTTATTTATGCATATATAACTGGGGTACAAGGCCAGAGGTGCAGGCGCAGGGCGGGGGGGTGGGGTGGTGGTGAGAGGATTCACCAGAGACAGAGTGGGGAACAGAACAGGCAGACCAAGGGAAATACACTGCTGAGGGGAGCAGCAGGCAAGACAGGAGAGGTCTGCTGTGCCATATGGATCAGCTCCCTGGCTGGGGATCGAACTCGTGCTGCTGATACCTTCATAATGCTGACACTTAGCCCTTGCACCACCAGGGAGGCCCTGAACATTGTGTTTTAAATAGTATGATGCAACCCCAAAATTCATTTGTTCCAAAATATTACTTTTCGAATGTAAATAGATACCTTTTGCTTCCTCTGAGCTTGCTTTACCTCCCATTAAGGAGAAAGCAGGTTTATAAACAGCTACAGTCATGGTATAAAATGGTATTTCATTTTACAGTGAAATGAATAAAAAGCAACTGGTAACTAGTATGCGGCACTGATCTTTAGGTCCAGAATGCAGGTGAAGCAGGAACTGAATTTATACTAAGCATTTCTTGGATTTACACCAGGGGGTGCCGCTCAGCAGTATTCAATCAAACTAGTAGACTTTTGGCCAGATTCACGGCCCATGAATTTTAACCAGAGATAAAATTTGATAAAAATCTATCAATCTTGATGCTTAGTTTTCCAAAAATATTTATGTCAGCCATTTGTTCACTTCAAGTACATAAGAAGCAGTAGACTGTGAGACTGAGTCAAACCAGGTAGATTTACACTCAGGCAGGAGTGTGTCCTGGCCCAGCAGTGGCCCCTAAAATTCGTATCAACCCAGAACCTGAGTATGAGTCCTTTTTCGGGAATAGGGTCTTTGCAGATGTCATCAGCTAAGTCTTGGATTTATTATGAATTTAGAAGGAGTAAGTGTGGCTGTCAGGAGACACGTCACTGAGAATCTGCAGCAGAGGAAGGTGTGTCTTACTGGGGGGCTCCTCTTCATGAAATAGGGCTGGAAGGCAGAAGGGGGAGTTCAACAGAAGTGAATCTCGTTGAGTTGGAGGAATTAGCAATTAGGCCCACTTGGGAGCCGTTTAGCCCCAAACAACATAATATTCTCACCTGGAGGAGGGAGGGGGCTCACACCTGTGCCCGAGGCCCTGGCTGCGGCCCTGGACGGAAGGGCCGGGTCTCGGGATCAGGACTGAAGGGTGTGCAGGCTGCCCATTGCAGACAAGAAGAAAGGCGAAGGGCAGGAAAGGGTCTGCAGGCCCTGTCAGTGGGGGGAGCCATGTGTGGATACTTGAAAGGTCTAAGCCGGAACCCACCAGCTTCCGAGTCCAGCTACACAGCAGCCTGGCAGGCGCCAACTGGAAACATTAATCCCAGGGAGCCGGAGCCGGGAGCCGAGCTATTGTGTCACCACCTGCCTGGGGTGGCAGACGTTCCCACACGGACCAATAAACAGAGGATGTCACGGGGCAGGACAGGGAGTCTCTCCTCCCCTGCATTTCCTTTTCCTCCTCCACTCAATTTTTGGGGGTTTCCTAGGACATCTATGGAAGACCCTCAAAGGTTTCCTGAGGTCTCAGTACCAGTGGTGCCCCTGCATACTAGAAAAGTCAAAGAACAGGAGATGGTGGATGCATTCAGGCTGGGGCAGGTGCACCCCAGGGGACACTCATGCTTGCTGTTGGGAACAGCATTTCCAGGGGATGGATTTCTCTGCAGCCCCCACCTTCCAGCTCAACTTCCCTAACTGGTCCCTCCACAGACAGGACGGCCAGCAGTCCCTTGCTGAGACCCTCTCCACCGCCATGTTAGTTTCCTCCCTCTGGAAGATCCCTGAATGAGGGAACTGGAGTCACCCCCTTTCCTGTCTTTTCATTCTGTTCTTGCCATCCCGTCTTGTCCCGAGATGCCCATCCTAACTCTGTGGTCCCCACACTCTACATGAGGCACCGGGCTCAGGGTCCTTCCTGAAAGGACTGCCCTGCCCTGTCCTGCCCACCAGCCCCCTCCCAGCAGACCCACCTTGAACCAATGATGGTCTGTTGCTTATCTCCACCACCTCCTTGAGGGCAGGGGCCATGCATTGCCCATCTGTGTCCCCAGGCCTGGCTCCAGGGAGGCTGAAAGTAGAAACCACCAGTGAAGGTAGAATGTGTTGGTAATGTTATAGAGCAGGCCCGATATTGAACGGGTTCCTGGCTGTGGGTCCTCACCCGCGCGTTTATAAGGGACTTATTAGCCACCTTCCCTTTGGTGGTGATGGGATTTGGAGTTCCCAGTGTCTTTGGCTTTGGCCTGGGGTGGGGGTGGAGTCCACAAAGCCTGTATGGAATTACCTTTAGGACATCCTGTTCCCCCTAACAGTAACACCTGCCCACCTCTCCCCAGCCCAGCTGGTGAAGGGACCTTCGGCTCTCAGGGTGTGAGTCACCCCAGAGTCAACACCCCCTAATCCCAGGATCCTGACACAGGGGGAGAAAGCTGTTTGCTCCCCATGAGTCTCCGGGAGAGAGGGGCTGCTTCCTCATGCCCCAGAGGGCACAGATGTCACCCCAGGGGCCAGGCGTTGGGTGAGAGTGTCAGACTATAGCGGCACTGTGGGGTGAAGCAGGGCTGAAAGCGACTCCTCCCCTCTGAGCTAACCAGCAGGGTCTGCTGTTCACCAGGGTGGCCTCCTGCTTCCCAGATGTCCAGCCCTGGAAAGGTCAGCGCTCCTCCCACCGAAACTCCCAGAAGAGAAGAGCTGACGCTAGCCGCCAGCGCCCCCACCAGGCCAGGAGAGGAATGGCCACTTCTGCCTCCAGCCCCCCACGTGTCTTTTTCTAGCACACCAAAGTGGGGGTAGATGGGCACAACAATGGGGATAAACCAGCCTATTTGTGAAGATCTGGAGTTTGTGACAGGCTGGGAGTGGGGTGGTGGGGTTGGAAGGTCTCTGGAGTTTAGGACAAGTCACACAACGCAACCACCCCCTTCACTGCAGGAGCCCAAGGAGCCAGGGCCTCTTCACCAAACATCCTCCTGAGGGCCAGTGGCGGGGGAACCTCTCCCTCTCACACTCTCCCTCTCCTCCCTCTCCTCTGATGTTAAATTTAGGAGACCATGAGGTGTAGCTCAAGGTTATATTATGACTTTCATGGGTCCTGGACAGTTTGGTCCCTTCTTCCATAAAAAAATATTTTTAAGTTCTATTTCACAAATGTAGCCTAGGCTACTTTTTTGTTATGCAGGATACTCACTATATTTATCTTAAAAAAAAAACAAAAGAATTTCATGAACCCCAAAGCATTTTAAACATTTTCGTGAACCCCAAAAGTATCATGGTACCAGACACTGTGATTCTCGGGCCTGGTGAGTAAGTGGGCCCCATAAGCCAGTGAACACTATGGCTTATGGGTCCACAAAGAGCAGTCTTTGTGCTGGGTCCTGACCCTGGTGCCCTCTGTGACAGCAGCTGCCCAAGCCCCAAGTATTCCAGGAGGTCCACCTGCTCTTTGAGAACAGGTGACTGCATCTCAAGGCTTTGCCTTGATGACCAAACAGCCAGAACAACCTTCAAAGTAGCCAGAACACCCTGGGTCTAATCTAGCCAGTCTTTGAACTGCTGGTTCCATGATCCAGAGGTTTCTCTAACTCAGGATAATTAGAACGCATGGAGTTGCCCTGGATTCTATTGTAACAGCATTGTATTTCCTTAAAAAATAACTATTTGGAAATCCTAGGGGTTGGAGGGAGCAGAAGCAAAGTGTTAGTATCGGTGGATTTCCATGGAAAGGTAAACTAAGTTGCCGTTACAAATGAGGATAGACCCACACCACTTTGGATTATTCTTTCAGTTAATCATTATCAAAGCAACCGATCATAAAGCCACATATCCATGAATTCCCATTTCATTAAACCCTCCTCTTGATAGCCTAGACAACTGTTCAGCGATTTCAAAAGTTCCCAGGCAAAATATTTGCAGAATCAATTAAATCAAAGCATTAAATCTGTGACTGAAGAGTTCTGAAGCCATCTAAATTTATCTATTAAATTAAGCTTTAGCTGCATCAATAGATTTATTACTCAAGCACATAGTTGAAATTTTACAAACTTATTCTGGATTACTTTTGCAAAGAGAACAAATAAAGATGAAATTTTATAGTAAATGGAATTATATGTCATGTTAAAGCATTAGGTGAAGGATTGTTTTGTATTTCATCAGCTTTATAAATTCAAACTGTGACATATCAAGTTTCCCCAAGTGGGAAGGGATACACCTGTAAAAGATTAAAACCAGCATGTCTTGTTTCACATAAATAATTGTTCTGTGATATGAAATTGTGAAATTTAATCAGAGAACCAAATCCCTTAGCCTCTTAAGTCCCAACCCCCCCCATTTTCAAAATGAAAACTTGAACTAGTAGTTTTCAAATGATGTTAGTTATAGGAATACTCTATCAAGTGAAATAATCATTGTTAATGACAATTAAATCTTTGTGTTTTCACGCAGCCTTGCATTTCATGTGCATACCACCCTGTGGTAGGTGTCCTTGTGTTGCAACTGAGGAAACTGAGGGTAGAAGACAGAAGACTGAAGCTAGAAGGATGGAAGAGCAGAATTCACATCAGTCTGTCTGACCTCAAATCTTAAGCTCCTCAAATTCCTATATGGAAAGAGGAGGGGGCTTCACTGATTGAAAAGACAGTGGGACGTCCCCAGGGACCCTCTGCTTCTCATCCTTGAAGTTCACTTTAAGAAAGATCTATTTTCTTTTTCTAAAAAAATGAATTTCCACTAAGAGCTTTGTCTTTATATCCAGTCAAATAACCCTTTTAAAAATTTTCATCATGATCAAAACACAAACTTTTAAATTCTCATAGCGCTCTTAGGTTCCCAGCCCCCACCCCAATAGATGCAAGGATACCAGGAATCTGCAAACCAGGTAAAATTCAGGCAGGGAGGAGAGTGACAATAATGTGGCATATGGTGACATCTACTGGTAAGACATGGTATTGCACCAACTTCCTCCATAGGAAATGAAACAGCTGGTTGAGGCTAAATTCTCTCAGTGTTGCGTGTGAATCAAAATAGGAGAAATTTCTGCCACACAGAAAGCAGAGGGAGCTGTTGGAACCTCTAGTATAGCTAAATCCCTGCCTTGCCGCCTGTAGGGTAGGTAAAAAGTGTCAGGCTTTTCTGCCCTCCCGCCATTAGGATAGATGACGGAACCCTGTGGTCCCTAATGCATGCCTGATGGCGGGCACCTGGAATAGGGTGTGGGCATATGTAGATGGGATTCACCTTGGCTAAGACTGGGCTTTTAAGGGCGGCATCACCAGCAGAAGCCAAGAACAAACGGAAGCAGGAGAGCAGAGAAGCAGAGAGAACACGAGAGAAGGCCGGAGAGCCCAGATAGAGTGAAGAGTTGCTGGGGGCTGGGAGGCCTGCCAGCCTCTCCGCCCCCCAGCACCCCTGCCTGCTGTGTACCTGGTAATCCCAGTAAAAGCCTGCAAAAGCCACTGAGGGCTCCAGGACTCCTCCTTTACCCAGTCTGCTGGATCAGAAAACCTGCTAAGTGGCCTGTCCTGCCACTGCACCGCCATTGGCTGCATAAACTCAGTGAAGTCACTGGTGTCCTAGGTCAAGAGCCTTACTGAATCACAGAGGTCTGGGGCCCCATCTCACAGACCTCATCACTACACCCCAAGCACCAAGCACACCACAGGGCCCTGTCACAGAGGGATCTCCAAGACTGTGACTCCTCTCCTTTCAAATGTAGGCGCATGTCTTTTTACCTCTTCATACACTAATTTTTAAAATAATCTTTGGTTTGCAAAGAGAACTCCACAGTAACTTTCAGAAATTCTGCTCCTACTATAAATACCTGACTAGCCCATATCAAGGTTTACTATGCCCAGTAATTTGCAGGGCCTGCCAGTAACTATATGGCCACAAAATAGGTGGCTGAAACCCTTCTCTTAAAAAGCTTATGCTTTGATTGTGGAATAAAACAGTACTCCTTCCCAACTAAGCATTCTTGTCAAATCAATTGGGATATTTTCTACGTGATCATATCTCTGATTTTATAATACAAGCCAATGGGAGAGAACATTCTTTTTATAGTCAGTCTTACTGGAAGGTATCTTTGCTATAAAGGGAGTTTCAAGGATCTCCTGGGAAGAACCGAAAGGGATGAGCTGAAATCACTGTCATCACCACATAACAGTGTTCCCTCTCCTGGGAAGGTGGTGGGATTAAGAGACTTTGTGAGCCTCATCTATTGTTCTTAAGTAGAGTACTAGGGCTCTGAGGGCACTAACCCAGAAAGCAGGCTGTAAATCCTCAACCAAGGAAGTTTTGTGAGAGAGCTGCAAATTTCCCATTCAGGGTTTGTTCTGTTTACAGATCAAGTTGTTTGTTTAAGCATTTCTATTAATGAATAGGGAGAAATTTACTCCTCAATGATCCAAATAAGATATAACAATATCACAAATAGTTGGTATTGATTAAGTACTTATTCTGGCCTAGAAACTGCTCTAAAAGCATTAAACTTACTTAATCCTCGCAACATACATAAAGAGTACTATTTTTACCACCATTGTACGGAGGAGGAAACTGAGGTCATGAGTCATTAAGTAACTGAAGAAGCTGTGATTGTCTCAACTAATTTAGACTTGCTGTCCTTGGGGGAGATGTAAAAGGGAACTCAGCTGCCCACCCACCATAGTCCACTGTCTACTCTTAGAGGCTTTATAGTGGGCAAGCCTGTTTCCAGCTCTGGGGTCTGAAATTATTTAGATAATGAAGAATCCTACTTTCTGCAAGGGCCAGAAGTGGCACAGGGGATGGAGGTATGTCCAGCCAAGATCTGGAAAGTACATATATTTCAATCATGGATTTCTTGGATTTTCTGGGAGAGAGAAAGAAGGGGACCATGAAATAACTATGGTTCTTTTATGCCTGTTGGAGTTCTTGAAATGCTCATCTCTTTGCCTTCACCACCACCCAAGGGTACTCACCTGAGGATCTGAGTAATTCTCAGCATTGTGTTTCATAAGGAAAGGGGGATTTTAGGAGAGTCAAGTTCCTCTGGCCTGCCTCTTAGCATCATGTGCAGTCTATCTTATTTAATCCCAAACTCCAAAGTACACCATCTTAGGACCCTATCAAACCTAACATTGGTGACATTTGATTGATTAGATTGACCCATCCTCAGGTGAGTACCCTTGGGTGGTGGTAAAGGCAAAGAGATGAGTGTTTCAAGAACTCCAACAGGCATAAAAGAACCATAATTATTTCATGGCCCCCTTCTCTCTCTCTCCCAGAAAATCCAAAAAATCCATGATTGAAATATATGTCGTTTCCAGATCTTGGCTGGACATACCTCCATCCCCAGGTGAGGAACAGACTCAGGCCACAGCCAAGCCTTCAGACAATTAAAAATATCTGTGATCCTAAGAGAGCCCCACCCTTCACACACCAACCGCTGGTGTAGGTGACCCCGACAAGCAGGCACAGAGCTCAGGATCCAGAATTGGAGAAAGGACTTCCCTTCGCAGCCACAGAATTTCTGGGACGTTGCTCAGCCTCCCACCCCACGCCTCTTTCCTTCCCCAAGTCCTTGGTCAAACAGCCAGCCTTCCTTCGTGTTACCCAGAAGTCGGGAGGAAAAGACTAAGTCTATGCTAGAAAGAAGCGCTCCTCTGGCGTGGAGCTCCAGGTTTCCCTTGTAATTGCCTCCTGGGTATGACTTTCTTTAGGAGTGGACCGGCCATTTCTGCCCTCCACCAGGTGCCACTTTTTTTTTAAGATTTATTTTTATTTATTTATGCATACAAGAACTGGGGTACTGGGGTACAGGCCAGAAGTGCAGGGGGTAGGAGGATTCACCAGAGACAGAGTGGGAAGCAGAACAGGTGGATCTACTGAAATACACTGCTGAGGAGAGCAGCGGGCAAGACAGGAGAGGTCTGCTGCACCATGTGGGTCAGCTCCCTGGCCGGGGATTGAACTCATGTACAGTGGCTGGCAATAGCTTGATAGTGCTGAGACTTTAACACTTGCACCACCAAGGAGGCCCCCAGATGCCACTTTCCTCTATAAGTGTCAATACAAGTGAAATGGGCAGTGTTTCCAGTCCAAAACGATGATCTGAGCCAACTTCGTAATTCCCAGATGTGATGACCTGTGGGACAGAAGAGGACACACACTCCATGCCACCAAGAGACACAGCCCAGAGGTGAGTGAACCTTGGAAGACCAGACATTTGTGGAGGGTGTGCAAAATACTACCTGCCGCAGCCTTGAGAAAGGGACGGGTGTGGGAGCACTTGGGCAGAGCCGGTGGCCGGGGCTGAGGAGGGGGCTCCTGGAGGCCCCAGGTCGTGGTGAGCACTGCCGGCTGTTGCAGAGGAAGATTTTGCCCGAGGTGAGATTGCCTGTGTGTGCCCCTCTCTTCCTACACTCCCCCGCAGGGACCTCTAAGGGCATGAAAGTCAAGAAAGAATAAGCTTGTTTCCTGAGCGGGAACTGCAAGGCGTCAGTAGGGACACACAGCCTCCAGCGGAACAGCAATCACTTTCCCTGCTGGACAAGGAATTTGTAGGGAGAACAATGTGGAGAAAAAGTACCAGCTACAAAACCCAGAGGCCAATCTGAGGTGTGCCAGGCAAATTCAATAACACAGGGCTCCTCCGGATATATTCTGGCGGAGATGGGATGTTGAAGGTAAAGAAAAAAGGCCTGTCACCATCCAGGGAGAAAACAAAATAGACAGGTTATTTCTACCGAGAAAGAACAGATTTCTCCTTTGCAACCTTGAGGGCAAAAATGCACTTCAATAGCGGAACAGCTAGATAACGCATGGTGGGGGTCGGTGAAGATGGTGGGCTCAGGCTGCACGTGGCAGGGACACGCACGCATCTCAGTGTTGGGCAGAGAGGATCACACGAACACACTGTGAGTCTGTGTGTGTCAAAATCTAAAACATCCCATGAAATGACCTACTAGTTAAGGCTCAGTGTCTAAAAGGTAAAAAAAAAAAAACCTACAAGCTAAAAGCTAGGGTATATTAACTCAAAATTCTAGGGTGTGGTTTCATTTGGGCAAGTCGAGGGACACCTTTGGAAAGTATTTTGAGGTGTTGCTGAGGTCCTAGTTCTTAGACTGGTGTGGGTCCCTGAGATTTGCCTTACTATTCTGCATATTTATCTTACTATTTGTATATTTACAAATACATGTTCTAGACTTTTTGGTTTCTATAAGATTTCATGCAAAAGTTGTAGACGATAAAAAGACATTTCAGGTAGAAAAATAATAAATACAAATAATACATATCAATGAACAGCAACTTTTTAGAGATTGCAAGAATGGGCAGCAGCAGAAATATGACAGGGAGTATATTTTAAGAAAAAAACCTAGCAGAGTACCAAAAAGAGAAAAAAAAAATAGAGGTGATTACAGTGGATGAATATCATGACAAAAATAGATGCAAAACCCCTAATTGTTTTTTTGATAGGAAATTAGACAAAGAGCTGTATTATTAAGGCTTATTGGGAACTGTTGGCATTTATAATAAAAATATGCGCTTGGCTCAATATTAGAAAATCTTTTATTATAGTGCTTTGAATTCAGAGAGGCTCCCCAGGATGCTATCAGCGGATGCTGAAAGTCATTTGATCAAATTCAACACGCTTCACTGATATTAATAAAAAATCAAGAAGTCAGTGGGCTGTAAAAGTAAACCTCTTCAGCAAAAGGAAAAATGTTTACTCCATACTTAAAACACAAGGGACATTCCCATTAAAATCAGGTAAAATATAAAGATATCTACTGTCATGACTATTATTCCAAAATTGTTAGGAAGTCTTAACCAAGTGTAATACAAATTAGAAAGTATATACATTGGAAAAGAGAAGACAAGATCATAATATTTTATTTGATGATATCATGACCCAAAAAAAAATCAAGAAAATGAACTGAAAATGATATGTATTAGCTCAGAGTTCTTGTTACATGTGTGGGTCCTATTGCAAAACAGATACACAAGCTACCAGTGGCAGACAGCAAAATGCAGGGCACCTGGGCCTCCGTGACTGCAGGAGACAATTGCTCCCAGCTCCTTTCCATTTTTGTCAAGAGCAAATGTGAGCTTACCTTGCTAGAGATTTAGATCTTTCAAGAGAATTTGTAAAACCAGGTTTTTCTATAAAATTTCCTGATATTTTTATGTGGATAACTAATTCAAAAATCATCTCAGTTGAATGTATCCACCAGCCAAGCATGACTGTGGGCCTCCAGCTGTGACCCTCACTTTCCTAGCTGACTAATCTGCCAGCAGAATAGAGGGAAGGGGACAAAAATTAATGTTTGAATGACTTGTCATGTGAAATAAATAAAATTAAATTTCTACTTCTGTCATACCAAGTTAGATCCACAGATAAAAGGATTTAAATGTAAAAAAATGTAACTGAACAGCACTAGAAAAAAACAGCTAAATATTTTTATAATTAGGAAGTGAGTGAGGAAGACTTTCTAAAAATAGCAGCAAATACAGAAATTGTGAAAGGAAAACACTGACCTCCAGTACATATACTTTTTAACTATCTCAGGTCAAAAAAAAAAAACAACCACACATACACACACACAAAGTCCAGTGGCAGACTAGGGAAAATATTTAAAACACATGAGATCAAAATCTCTTATGGCAGAGACTAACTTACAAATCAATAGCAAGCATCTCCAGAAAATGTCAAGTTCAAGATGTGGGAAGATGGTCACAACATAAGAAGTGCCAGTTGCCAACAGGCATCCTCACTCACAATCGAAGGCTACAAATGATGCCAGTGAAGAGATGCCAGTTTTCCCCTACTGACGAAGACTTTTAAAATTGTCTTTGAGGTCATGTTGGCAAATCAGGTCGTATCGGTGGAAGTAGCCAGGAATCCAACCTGTAAAACATTTGTGTCAGCATCCCTGCCTCGGCAAGTCTACTCTAGGAGTTCAGTCTAGGGAAATGAAAATATAAATGAGGATTCAGTTGCAAGATGCCATCATTGATATAATAGCTGGACACAAAAACAAACCAAAAACAGGACAGTATGAACACTGATTGAGGAAAGGTAAAAGGAGTGCATTCATGGTAGTTGTTTAAAGTCTGAAGAAATCTTGAAATATTTTTATTATTACGGAAAGATACTTACAATACATTACTAAGGTCTTTTGTTAATTTTTAACTAAATTGATTTCAAATTAAAAGAAAATCAAGTTTATTTTCATTTTACATTAGTGTGACTATCTCTATCTACACAGTCGACAGAGATCAGACACACCCTCCCCACCCCAATGGTTATCTCTGGATTGTGTTGTTATGACAATTGTGTTCCAAATTTCCTTTTTCTACATTTTTTTTTCCCTACAATGAACATATTGCTTTGACAACGGAGGAAAACTCGATGTTTAACTAAAAAATGAAGCAAACTGAGGGGCCTCAGGTAGACTAATTGATGATTATAGTTACTTAGCTGTATCAGGAGCTAGACATGGTTACCATGGTTTCATTTGCTGTGTATGTAAATAAATACACACCAGATGGAATCAACAGACTTACCTTTCCACTTATATTTTGCTTGGATTGTTTTTAAAATAAAGTCATATTTAAATGCTGGTAAGAGAGCTACCCCCACATATGCAAAATGCCAGAAGAGAGCTTAGTAGTAACACTCTGAAAAATTTAAATTTTATTGCAAATAATCCACAAAGTGGGTTTTCTGCATGTGGTTTATTAGAGATGTCCATAAGTACCTGGTTAATCTGCAGCCACTTAATACAGTTAATAGACCTTATACAAATATTTACAGGCCCAGAGAGATTTATTGGCAGACTTGGCCTTCCTTCCAGGCCCAGTTAACAGTGAATTCCTGCCAGCCCCTCAAACACACAGAAAGAGAAGTTGGAAAGATTTTGGCAATGGCTTAGGGAAGGAGAAGTGTGGAGTGTGGCATTTACTAGATGAATCTGAGAGTGTATTCATAAACAAGAAGGCTCGTGTCCAAAAGAACGAAGTGGTACATGGAGAAACTGCAAATTAAGAGCCTGTACTTTAAAAGCAGGATTACATTTGTTTGACCTGACTAATCCCATCTCTGCTGCCCATTGCTGCCCAGCTCGGCTCCCACCAGGGGAAGATACCGTCTCCAGCCTTCTCATCTGCTGCTTGCTTTAAGTAACACCTGTAATGGGGATTCCCAGCCAGATATCGGGTTCCCCACTAGGACATATGACCTCTGGCACTTGACACGATCCATTCCAAACTCTGCTTTCTTCCCTGAACACACTCCTTGTCTAAATCCTCAGAGCTCTAAATCCTCACAGCACTACCGTCCTCCAAATTGCCCAAACCAAAAGCCAAGGATTCATTTTGGATTTCCTTTCCCTTCTTCCCCTACCAAATCCATCAGCAAATCCTGTCTATTCAGTAAACAAAAATACTGAATCAGCCCCCTTCTTGCCATGTCTGGTACTAGCGCCCTGATTCAAGCCAGCTTTGCCTCTGATTTTTGCAATAACCTCTCCTTGGTGTCCTTGGTCTCTCGGACCTATGATCCACTGAGTTGCCAGTGATTTCTTAAGACAGCTTTCATATATTTGCTCAAACCCCTCTGGTGGCTTTCTACTGCACATAAGAAGACCCCCAACTTCGCCCAGCAGGGTATAGTCTGTGAATGCCCTTCCTCTATTTTCCATGTCCTGAGAATTATTCTCAAGCCACAGGGTCTTCATTGGACTTCGAGGATTCTAAGCTCATCGGGCTGCACATTTTGTTTCTTTTGCCTCAAAGTTCACCCACCCGAGTCCCTCCCCCTCCCTATTAATTAGTTTTTAAGAATACACATTGAGGGCACGCAGTGTAGCTGGCTGTCAGGAGACTGGTACGCATCCAGATCATCTCCAAGATGTAATACTGATTCTCCCGAGCCCCCAAAGCTGCAGTCATTCCAAAGGAATTCCTCACTCCCAGTTTCCTCATCTCTGGGACCAGTACTGACAGTTCACTTCTCTCTTGAAAATTTGAAACACAGAGATTTACACTCACAGATTTGGACACTGGAGGTCACTGGAGCTGGTCACTGACTGTAGAAGTCCCCAAACTGCCGTTCTGTTCAGCTTTTCCCTTGGAGCTTATAAATTACCCAGTATTCTTTTTTTTTTTTTTTTAACATTTATTTATTTATTTATACAAGCACTGGGGCACAGCAGAAGTGCAGGAGGGTGAGAGAATTCACCAGAGCCAGAGCGGGGAGCAGAGCAGGCAGAAGGACCGAAGTACACTGCTGAGGGGAGCAGCGGGCGGCAGGAGAGGTCTGCGCGCCATGTGGGACCCTCCTCCGGTGGCCGAGGAGCTGCCGGGGATCAAATCGGCGCTGCAGAAGCTGCGGGCAGCTTCGCAACCCAGCGCTCAACTGCTGCGCCACCGGGGAGGCTCACCCAGTATTCTTTAAATAAGTCCTTTAGTTAAAGTCAGTTTCTATGACTTACAACTAAATGAGTTTTGCCTGGGACAATGAAGGACTCCATCCTAACCGCCCAGCCTCCTAGAACAACGTCCATAGAATTCTTTTACTGGGATCACAGGCTACCCCAGGGCCTCTGTGAACTCTACAATCAGCACCAATGCTGGTATTTGTAGAACAATTTCATATTCATCCTTTCCTCTCGTGCGTGTATGCACATATGCACACACATGAGCACACACACGAGCACATGCACACACATGCACATACAAACACGCACTTGTATTCTTTCCAGGTCCTCTCTTCACCCTTTGTAACTTTTCTCCAGCATCCATGAGGCTGGATTCTGTGTGTCTGATGTGTGCTCACACTTGTCTGTCCTCTGCAATTCGGCACATGTACATGAGGGGCCTCAAGCATGCACGGGCAGTGAATCTGAGCTCTGAAGGGAAACCCCTCTTCTAAAAGGAACACACTTCCCCTGCCTTTCCTGATTCTCGCCTTTCTATTACATTGTGTTGGTTCAACCACCAGGGGTTCTCTCCTTTGATGAACCCTACACTTCCCACCAAAGCCATGCACACACTCACATGCACACACAATATGGCATGCAACGAAAGTTTTTGGATGCCTGATTAAGAATCACTTCATTACAAAGAGTATGTCTGTGACTTTCCTCCACCCCTAAACACACACCCCATTAATTCCCACCCTTCTCTATGACTCATTCACACCTCTGCTGCCAGACACCGATAAAATAAACCTGACTCCTCCCTCCTAGGGTTCATTGTGCTGTGAAACACAGGCGTGCATGCACACACACACACACCCCCCCCACCCCTAACAATTACAGGCACTTAAACTTATGAGTCATTAAAGGCTTCCCCCATTAGAAGTTTTCCCAAGACAAACATTTTAAAATTTCCTAGATTACAGTTTATTTTTACAAGTCACATTTTAAATGCTTTCCTTCACTGGGAGGCTCCTTGGACCCTGACTGAGATAAGGGAACAGCCAAGTACTATCAGCAGCACGCTTATCAAGAATTTCTTAGGTGCGTTATTTCCTGGGAAGATTATCACAGTGATTAATCTCATCCATTTCTAGTTGTCAGTTTCAGAAGGTGACATTTTTGGCCTTGTTCCCAGATCCTGAGGATGTTGTCAATTTGAAACCTGCAGTTTCTTACAGACTGACTCTACCTTCCAATTAGAAAAGAAGTCTGAAGATGTTGATGCTTCCTGGTTTGCCTTCTCCGAGATAATTAGTGTTGACGGAGGAACAGAAAAAGCAGAGAAGACAGATGGAAAGAAGACAGGGTGGGCACAGTAGCAAAAGTGCTGTAACATTGGAGGTAGATATAGGACCGGGCAGAGTCCAGTTTTTCTACCAATGCCAGTGGCTCACAGCAGGCCCCAACACCCTAAAGCAGGTATCCCTTCTGCTCTGGGGGCTCCCGGGGGGATGTGCTTATTTTGATGATTGTTTTTCAAGACTCAACATGGTCTAGCTCAGGGTTTCAGCCTCAGCATTACTGACACTTGGGGCCAGAGTTCTTCATCGTTGGGGCTTGTTCTGTTTTAGGAGGCCCAGCAGCAGTTACATCTCCAAGTTGTGTCCCCAGAGTGGGGAGCAAAAGTGCCCTGGCTGAGAATCACTCAATAATTTAGTCAGACAGATTTAGATTCCAACTCTCGCTCCATCCTTTACAAGCCTGTGACTTTGAAAATAAAGCATTTATCTAAGCCTGTTTTCTTGTCAGTGAATCATACTTATCTGAAAATGTTTTGAGAGAGAAATGTAATGAAAACTATGAAAATGTCCCCTGGGTGCTCAGCAAGCATTTGCTCCCTCCCTGCTCCAGCTTCATTTATCCGGTAGCATTTACCAAAACTACACTGTGTGAGGCTGTGGACGCAAAGCAGTTCTTCTCCTGCAGGAGCTGACTCGAAGAGCATGCTTCTCTGTGTTCAGAGAGAATTTACCAAATCTTCTAACTCTGGCCCTCTCTTTTTCTTGATGGTCCCCCTTGCATGCTCCCTTGGGAGGGAGGACCCGTGAGTTGGGCCTGGAAATGGCAGTTCATCCAAGAGCAGGGGGAGCACACGGCAGGGGCAGGGACGCAGCACAGGCAAAGGCTTGACAGTGTGGCAATGCCAGGGGACCGAGTTCTCCAGGGCTGGAGTGAGGCTGAGTATGAGAAACCGGGGCAAAGTATAGGATGCTAGGGACTTTGGGCTTTTCCTTGCAAGTCAAGGAGCCCTCAAGGATGCTTGTATCAGGACAGGGACAAGGACAAGATCTGCTGTGGGAAGCAGGCTGCAGGAAAGGGGAGGTAAGGAGAGGAAGGATGAAGGGTGGAGAGTGGGAGTAAGGAGCTACCCATTCCAGGTGAGAGATGACAGGACCTGAACTGTAGAGTCAGCAGTGACAATGGCAAGAAACCAGGAGGATCCGGGGACATTAAAAGGTAGAACTGACAGATCTAGTGACTGACTGCCTGAGTAGGCAGGTAGGTAGCAAGCACAAGAGGAGGTGATTTAAGATTTTGGTTTAGAAAACCGGTGGACACTGCTGGCATTTAGAAATGAGAGGCACCCAGAAACTGTCCCTTTTTCACAGTTGCCACATTACCACTGCAAGGGGATTCACTGTCCCTGGCTCCCGCATGGCAGATCTGTGCACAACCCAATCCAGTAAACCCAGAAGCGCACGTGGCACACTGAGCAGCTCCAAGATGTCTGTTCCTCCGTCTGTCTCTGCTTGATTCCAGGAAAGCCTCAGGAAAATAGTATCAATGAATGAGAAATAATCACTGACCCCAGGGAGCTCACGGAAAATGGGAAATTACAGCACAACGTGATCTGTGCTCTGTAACGGACATGCCCAAGCAGAGATCACTCCACAAAGGGCATCTTAAACCAAACAGAGGCACGTGATCGAGACACAACAATGAAAAAAACAAAGAACATTTTAGCCAAAGAAACAGCAGACACAAAAGTGCAAAGAGGTGGTATAATTCGGTATGACTGCAGGGTGGGGTGACGTGGAAGATGAAGTGGGAGACAAAGGTGAGAAGTAGAGGATAAAGGATCTTTTGAGCTAAATTAATGAGCCCAAATTATAATGAATGAGAGATTTTAAGCAAGGAAGTTTCAAAGCCCCCTTCTTGGTCTTTAAACACACGGAGTTCATTCCTACCTCAGGGCCAGCGCGCGGCTTTTCCCTCAGCCAGGTCGGCCCTTCCCTCTCGTTGCAAATGCACCATGTCTTTACTTCCTTCAGGCCTCTACTCAAATACCACCTCAAGAGGCCTTGTAAGCACTTTGTCTAAAGCAGCACTCTCTCGCCTCACCATCACTCAGCTCCCTTGCCTGCCTTTTCTCTTTGACAACCATCATTGCCTCCCATGAACGGTCAGCTCCATGAAGACTATCAGAGCTGCACCTGCGATGCCTCGCACATCGAAGACTCTCAGGGCTGTTTCCTCAGTTAAGGACTTTTGATGAAAAATGAAGTTTTGCACTGTCAACACCCGTCATCATATAGAATTAAAGGCTTGTAAAATACAGATTTGGCTCAGAGGACCTACTCTTGTCGCTGACAAGCTGTTTGGATTTGAAGAGTCACTTGTTTGAGCCTCAATGTTCGTTATCTGTAAAGCAGGAATGGTAATAGCCTCTACTTCCCCACCTTATATGCCACAGAATTGGGGTCTCACACTTCACTTTATTAATGAGCTATCTCAACTGTTCACTCTTCAAGTGTGGACCTTGCCTTACTCATCCACTGTTAAGATTTGGCACAGGGCTGAGATCTGTAAATAATTACACCCCCACCCCACCCAAAAATTGAGGACAGAGGTTAAAATTTTCCTCTGTGAAATGAACAGCTTCAGTCACACTCCAACTTATTTTTAAGTAGTCACTATAAATGTCATTTCATTTTATAGAGCAGACAGAACCATCAGCGAGGTGTCTGAGCAGCTAGAAATATTTCCAGTTAGTCTTTTTTGTTCAGGATCAGGAACGTGAGAGCCGTTTTGTCTAAATGCTCTCCTGGCTCAGTAAACACATGCGCTATTTGGATGCTCGTGGCCCAGGCAGGATAAGGGTGTCCATGCGCAGAGCACAACCCTTGAATGACCCTCCACACGACAAAGTGCTGTGTAATTTAAGGGTATAAACCATCTCCACTTAAGAGTCAGCTAACATATGCTGGGACTACACAAATACAAAATCACCCAGCCAGAAAGACACCTCAAGACTCTCTACATATGGGTCTCCCCCGGTGGCGCAGCCGTTTGAGCGCGCGCTGTGAAGATGTCTGCAGCCTCTGCAGCGCTGGTTCGATCCCACCGGCCGGTCAGCCAGAGACAGTCCCACATGGCGCCGCAGACCTCTCCTGTCTCGCCCGCTGCTCCCCTCAGCAGTGTATTTCAGTCAGTCTGCCTGTTCTGTTCCCCACTCTGTCTCTGGTGACTCCTCTCACCCTCCCACACATCTGGTCTGTGCCCCGGTTCTTGTATAAATAAATAAATCTTAAAAAAAAAAAACCTCTACATACATTTTAACATATAATTACTATCTTTTCAAAGGACCAGACTGATATTTTATTAGGAATAAAATTCCTAGTAAATGAGAGTTAAAAACAATGACTTGGTATAAATTCAGGGCCTTTTCCTACATCCATTATTAGATCAGGGAAAGTTTAGACTCCCAAAGGAGCTCCTTAAAGGCTGGTATTCAGGCAACAGCTGGGAGGAGAGTGGGGTTGCTCGTTCTGCGTCAGCACAAACATTGAGCATACTACCTACTTAAACCTTACCAACCTTACCTACTTAAACCAAACCTTACCAAACAATTCTTTGAGAAGTACAATACCACCCCATTTCACCGACAGAAAATTAACTTATCTAGGTAAAAGAATTATCCAAGGTCAGACACTGGGATTGGAATCTTAAGCTGTCTAGGTCTGCACTCATGTCATAGTGTCTGGGACATTATTCTAACTATGGGAGTGCACAGATTGTACACTGTAGGGCATCTTTTTTTTTTTTAATTTTTTTTTTATAGAGGCATGCTTTATTTATTTTTGTTTGTTTGTTTTTTTGTTTATACATGCACTGGGTACAGTCAGAAGTGCGGGAGGGTGAGAGAATTCACCAGAGCCAGAGCGGGGAGCAGAGCAGGCAGAAGGACCGAAGTACACTGCTGAGGGGAGCAGCGGGCGGCAGGAAGGTCTGCGCACCATGTGGGACCCTCCTCCCGTGGCCGGGAAGCAGCCGGGGATCGAACCGGCGCCACGGAGGCCGCGGGCAGCTTCGCAACCCAGCGCTCAACCGCTGCGCCACCTGGGAGGCCCTGTAGGGCATCTTTTATTTTTTGGAAACAGTAAGTTTTCAAAGCTTCCTAAGCTTGATTCACACTAGCTGGGCTAACATACGGTTCAGCAAATTAACTTAGCTCAGGATATGGATAGGAAGGGTATTATGAAGTCAGCAGTAATAAAGAAATTATACAATTTGGTGAGAGGATTTGGATGTGGGAGGACATTATTAAAGGTCTAGAATTAAAGAAAAGTTTGGGAATGACAATTTTTTGCATCACTGCAAGAGAACTGTCCATCAAGCAAATACCTAAAAGACTAAGGGCAACTTGACTGGCAAGTCATTTGCTGGTACTAGTATGGAGTTCTTTATTTTGCAGCAATAACCTGCTGGGTCCTGAAACTGTGCAAAACTAATCCAACGGAAAGAATGTTGTTAAGGCATGGGAACACTCAAATTCTAGCCCTGTCACTCATTAATAGGTCATTTAATCTTTGAGTCTATGTTCATTTATAAAATGGGGATAATGAATATCAACTCTAAAGTATTGTTGTGAAAATTAAGCAAAACTATGGCAGGATAGGTACCCTAAATCAGTTCATCATGAAAAACAGAACTTAAGCATCATCAAGATGTAAAATCAGTTAATCATTTGTTGTTTTGGGGAAAAGGGTTGATGTTAAGATTTCAAACACATATAATCATTTACCAGGAAAACTTCTTAAGGATGATTACTATTCTTACTTAGAAGACATCCAGACTTGCGCAAAATAATTATTTGTTCAACTTTGACGAAAGGAAAATCCTTTTAACTCTTTGTTTTAAAGAGCAGGGAAAGCTAATCATGCCCTTTCCTTCAAGGAATCTTTGAGATCTAAGAATGTCTGTTCAGTAAGATTAAACACAAATTAGAGATAGTTGCATATGGGCAATGCCAAATTATTTTGCCTAATATCTTTGTTTCTAAGAAAGGACTTTTTTTGAGATTCATGCTTATGTATTTAGTGGTGAAGTTTAGTGATATTTGCAACTTCACAATTCATAATAAGTTATATAAATAAAAATTATAAAAATAAAGCAATATGGTAAAATGTTAACTATAGAACTTAGTAGGTATATGGGTAATGTTTAAAGCTGTCCATAATAAAGCACTGGAAGAACACCAAGAGATTGCATTTTGGGACTTAGGAACTGTCTCATGTGAAACTTGTCATTTTTTTCCCTTTTCCACTAGTTCTATTGTACAAATAAAACTGATGGGGCTGATGGGTGCAGAAAAACATTTTGACGGAGAAATAACAATATATTCAGCTTAAGTCAACTAACTAAAAGACAAGTTCTACAAACCTTTTGAAATAATGTGACATGACCAACAGAGGAATTCAGACATAAGAAAAATCAGTAACTAAATCTACAGTTTTAAGAGTCTTTTGTATGGGGATGTCAGGCTAAAGACCAAATATTATCCAGCAATTAGTCTTTCATTGGCCCTCATCTAGGGACTTTATCTAGGGATATTCAAGGACATTTTGAAGACATTAAAGCAACTGCAAAAACTAAGTTATGCAGTCCCCTTTGTTTAGAATAGACCATTTTGAGAAACATCTGTCATTAATGCTTATTTGTAAATGGTATACTGATCTCAAGGAGTGGTATAAAACAAAATTATGTAGGAAATAAACCAGAATGCTATATAACCAAAAGGACTGCAAGAGAAACGACAGATACATTATAAAACCAGAAAACAAAAAAAGTGAAAAACCACAGAGGTGAAAAAAATCATTTCTTGAACTAAGTGTTTTTCCAGCATATAAACTGCAGAATACTCTGCATCTTTTAAGAAGCACCTGCAGTTCTTAGGTAGAAAATGTCTTGCAGGGCAGTTTCCTACAAAGATCCCAATAGAACTCTACTAACTGCTAAGAATGTTAAGGAAGTGATCTAACACCTGTTTCAAGTCATATTTAGAATATTAAAAATTGAAGCAATCTTAAAGCTCTAACAGTGGAAGAATGATACATTTGCAACTTGAATATCAATGTGAGATTATTCAGCAATTTTTTTTGAAAGATTTATTGGTTTATTTATACAAGAACCGGGGTACAGGCCAGAGGTGCGGGGGGGGGGGTGTGTGGTGGTGGTGGTGAGAGGATTCACCAGAGACAGAGCAGGGAACAGGACAGACTGACGAAATACACTGCGTAGGGAGCAGCAGGCAAGACAGGAGAGGTCTGCCCCACCATGTGGGATTCTCGCAGGCTGACCAGGATCGAACTGGCGCTGCAGAGGCTGCGGACAGCTTCACAGCGCAGGCACTCAAGCGCCTATGCCACCGAGGGAGGCCCATATCCAGCAATTTCAATATAAGTATGAGTAAGTCATAACAAAGAAAGCTAAAGTAAAAGCAAATTAAGTAAATATACTTATGATTTTAAAAAGTTAGGAACACCAAAAAAGACAATTATATTGGAAAGTTAGAATTCTATTTGTTTCCCACAGCTGTTCTACAAAAAAAAAAAAAAAAAAGAAAAGAAAAGAAAAAGTTCTAAGTTATTAATGGCAAAAGAATGAAAAAGAAAGATAAGAATGTAGTGGTTGGAAGGTCACAAGTGAAGTCATATACCAACAGCCCTGATGGTAAGACCTGCAGTGTGATAAGACTAGATATTCTAAGAAAGGTCACTGTTAACACACAGTTGTCTGGTATTTTCACTGCAACAGTAACCCATGCAAACCCACCCATTCTTCCCTTCTTTCTAGTAGCAGGTCCTAAAAGTTATCAAAGAAGTGCTGCAGGAAGTTTTCTTAATTATGACCAGTGTGCAGACATCTTCTCAAAGGCTTTTGAGCCCCCAACATGAACTGACATGAGCTATACCAATTCTCTGGAACTCTTTCTTTTAAAAATGTGAAAGTACTCACTCTGGCTCTGGTGAATTCTCTCACCGTCCTGTGCTTCTGACTGTACCCAGTGCTTGTATAAATAAATAAATAAATAAATAAATAAATAAATAAATCTTAAAAAAAATGTGAAAGTACTTATCTTTTTTTTCTAAAAGATTTATTTATTTATGCATACAAGAGCTGGGGTACAGGTCAGAGATGTGGGGGGTGAGAGGATTTACCAGAGACAGAGTGGGGAACAGAACAGGCAGACTGACTGAAACACACTGCTGAGGGGAGCAGCGGGAGAGACAGGAGAGGTCTGCTTCGCCATGTGGTTTCTCCCTGGCCGGCCGGGGATGAACTCATGCTGCAGAGGCTGCGGATCACCTCATAGTGCAGTGCTGAATCCCTTGCGCCACCAGAGAGGCCCGAGAATACTTACCTTTTAAAACCACAATCATAAAGTCAAACTCATAATACTATTGTGTTAGGGAGTCCTCAACCTATAGGGCTATGTTAAGATTTTTTTTGGTTGCTTGTTTGAAACTCAGAAAGCATTATTCTCCCAGAAATATTGTAATAGTAAGGGAATGGACCTGTGCACCAAAGCATCATTTCCAAGACCATTTTCTGGTTTTGAAGGTGAATGGCTACTTAAGATGCTTCCTATGCTTCTAGGAGTTCCCGTACAGGCCTCCATTTCCATCACGGAATTTTCACAAGTGGGTTACTGTTAAGCTGGGAAATGTCTAATACTTTAACTTTTTAATAGTTAAAATCTACTAATATTACTTTCACAACAAAGATAACACTTTATTCTAGATGAAAAATATTACTCTAGCAATCAAAAAATTAAAAACAGGTATAGAAGAACACTAAAGGTTCTAACAGTGGAACTCAAATATCAAAAGCAAGATGTTATTTTAAAATATGCAAAGACTCAAGTTTAAAGTTTTAAACTCAAGCTTAAATTGAAATTTAATCCTTTCTGTATAAAACCAAATGGTAGTTGAATATTAGGAGATTAAGTCCTGAAAAACTAGGTTATAAAACAAATACATGAAACATGACTACTTAAGTTTTGGGGATTCTTTATCTCATAAGACCCCACTTTATACAAAATTAACTTTCCCAACCTGAGCACAGTAGAATGTAATAATTTATATCAAAAAGTTGTACTTTAGAAACACTTTGTGAATTTTCACAGCATTAGGAAAGCTTTAAAAAGAAAACGTTGGTGTTAAAAGATAAAGACAGATTCAAACAGCAGCAGAATGTAAGAACAAATACTGGCAGAGACCTTACCTCTCTGACTATATTCTTCTATTTTTCTACAAAAACTTTTTGGCACCTGCAACTTTGATCAGCCTACCCATTTTCAAATAGATAACCTTTATTTTTCATCATGTCCTAGGTAGATCAGCCCTAAGACTTCCGAGAGAGGGAACCTCAATCAGAGTCCCATTTATATATGAGGCAAACATTCGTTTTAATTTGTCGCAACAGGATTTTATGCTCCAAACAGAGCAATTCTGTAGAGTGCTTAGGATGTTTTAAAAACTCTCCAAAGCTCCTCTCTGGTCCATACAGATCAGAGCATAATAGATATAAGTAGCAGAGTAATTGGAGGACGTTTTAGTCATATTTGATCCTCTCTATTAGGGGTTTCCCCTTGTAGTGGGAAATAATTTGAATTAGGATGGAACAGTTGATAAGAAGGAAGAACAAACCAGCTATCCAAATAAAGAGAAAGGTGTTCTTTCCTTGAAACTCCAGCCCATATGCGGGAGCCAGCCACTGGGCCTGCCCCATAAACCACAGCAGCAGCAGCAGTACAGCTCGCCTCCAAGGCATTCGCACTAGCGGCATCACAAGGGGCAGAAGGCAGAGGTACCACAGAAAGTACTGGGAGGTGCAGACTTTGTTAAAAGTCACAAAAATAGACGTGTGAAGAAAACAACAAAAGACAAGGTCCCTGTAATAGGCGAAAGACACTGCTGACAGCAAGATTAACTGTGGGAGGAAGGCGGCCATGCCCAAGGTGAAACTCCACTTGCTCTCCGCCGTCAGGTACAGCATGTAGAAGTATGGGGAAAAGTTGTGCCGGATGTCCCGCCTGGTTAGGTGATACAAGTAGGTGTGCTCCAAAAATTCCCAGCCGTACTGATAGTAAAACCCGAAGGTCAGGGCAAAAAATGTGAGCCCAGTCACCGCCACAAAGAGCAGCACGGACCGACTGCCCAGCCGCTTCAGGAACTCGTACAGGCGGGCCTGGAGTGAACACGGGGCCGGCCGCGAGCCGTCACCGCGCTCCGGCAGCAGGTGAAGGGCGATGGGCAGGATGTAGGTCACCGGGTACAACTTCATGTGCACCGCGAACCCGTAAGCCACGGCGGCGCAGGCGACCAGTCGCTTCTCGAGGAGGTAAAGCGCCGCCAGCACCAGGCAGACCACCAGCGAGTCGGCGTTGCCGCGGCTGGACACGGTCATGGGCAGCGGGTTGAGCAGCCAGAAGACGCAGTAGCCGCAAGCGCCGCGGCGACCTAAGCCGCGGCAGCGCAGCAAGCGGTACAGCAAGAAGGCGGCCACCATGTCCCCGCTGATGAAGAGAAACTTGCCAAAGAGCGGGCCCAGGTGCACGCCGGGCACCAGCAGCCAGCCGAGCAGCGGCGTGTAGCGATAGGTGGCGCGCAGGTACGGGGAGCGGCCTGCGGCCATGAAGTGCGCGGCGTCGGAGAAGACCTGGTAGTCGATGTCGGTGTAGCGCAGGCGCAGCGCGCGGTCCTGCAGGACGCCATAGAAGACCAGGGCCACCCGCGCCGCAAAGGCCAGGCCGAATATACCAGCGGGGGACACTGGCAGCTGGAGACGCCGCTCGGCCGAGTGCCCCCCGCGGCGCATGGCGCGCCCACAGTCCTCAGCCGGGGCCGACGGCCTCCGAGCGCTAAACGCGGCCCCGGCTTCCCGCCTCAGGCGCCCGGCGCGTCGGGCACCGCCGCCACAAACTACCGTTGATCGTCACTTCCGGCGCGACGCTGCCCTGTGCCGGAAGTCGGGCAAAGCCATCCTTCTTTGGGATTGGCTGCCTCGCCCCTGGGCGGGACTTCGGGTCGTGCCTGGTATTTAAGTTCAGCGGCGCTGCTTAAGTGCGGTTCTGCCTAAAGAAGGGGTGTTCTCTGCTCTGGCTCTGGTGAATTCTCTCACCCTCCCGCACTTCTGACTGTACCCAGTGCATGTACAAACAAAACAAACAAACAAACAAATAAATAAATAAAACATGCCTCTATAAAAAAAAAAAAAAAAAGAAGGGGTGTGCTTGGGAGTGAGTCCCTGTCTTGGGCCACATCACTCAGCCTGGGCAGAAACAGCAGTGACATGTAGGGGTGAAGAGAAATAAACAGATCCTTTTCGCGGGTGATCCGGGCTGTGGGACCGCCCGGGCTGAACTGAGAGACGACGCTCTGTGTTGTCCCAGTGTTTAGGAGACGCCATTGTTTATATCCCTGCAGTATTGGGGACGACCTAGAATGTGTGTATGTCCTCCCCGGTCTAGTGAATTCTTCCTTACCTACTCCAGATTACCGGGAAGGCCGTTTTTAATCTGGCAGCCTTAGGCGGAGGAGTGTAAGAGGCCTGGGAAGCTTCTTATAAGTCTCAAATCTGCCATGCTCTTGTGCTTCAATGCCACTGCATCCACAGTTCCTCTGGCTAGCTGCCCTAGGCCCCCCTCCGTCACCGCAGCAAACACCTACTTAACCCCTCATGCCTGGATTCGAATGTTAACTACACAAAGCTTAGCCTGCCAGCAGCTCACTTTTCATCAGTATCCATGATTCAGATGCCAGTTCTTTTCTACTGACTGCAGGTACCTAGACTGAGGCAGTGTGCCTCTAAGCTCTAGAATGTCTCTCATTCAGAAATATTTGCCCTTCCACATGCGAGCTTCCTCCTGTGCCTGTCATCCCAGTTTAGTGTAGCACCAGTGTTCCAAACTCCCTTTCAGAATGCCCATTATTACAGCATTTGTCATGCTGCTTTGTAAGCCTAGTTTTTTGATGTTTCTCTTTCCTAGTTTTCCATCACTCTGAGTTCTTTGAGAACAGAGATTGTCTTCATTTTTTTCTGTGTCTCAGCATCTAACTTATTGCCAGACTTAGTATAGAATTGATTTTGGATGTTCCTCTTACTAGAATATTACTAGATGGTTTTCTTGGGATGCTCCCAACTCCCAGTCCTTTTCTCGTTCAAATTATTTTACCATGCGCAATATCTACCACTTCACCCACCTCACTCCAGTCCTTCTTGCATGAATTACTAAGAACTCCAGCCCATTAGCTCTTTCCTTTCTGCAGGCCCTTACTGCACTTACAGTCTGCATTGCAGAATTTCATAATTCTGCAATTATGTATGCATGACCTTTTCAATTAGATTATACGGTTTTGAGGCTTTGACCTCAAAAACACAGTCTTATCCTTAGGGTTTTTTTTTTTTTTCAATTACTCATAATTTATTGCAGTTTTAGGCATATGGCAAATGTTCATAAATATTGTCTTACTTGATTTTACAGATGATCCTCCTTCCTAAGGGAAGTCCTGTAGACTAGTACAAGAAGATATATGATTCCATTCGGTCTGAATATGCATTTTCTAGGACTAGCCTCTACTCTTCCCTCACATAATTTATTTCTATCATTTCATGAACCCTGTAAATCTTACATATTCCATATTCATATGCTATATCTCTTTGCCCTTTTATCTTCCTTGATGTTTGTATGCCTTATATTGATAATTCACTTTTAATTATTTTTGGACAGTACAGTAACCATATATACAATGGCAGCACATCGCCGTTCAAATAATAGTAATAATGATAATGATTTCTAATAGCTAGCATTGCTAAGGAATTATTTTCAATGTGCCAGGCATTGTGCTAAATGCTTACCATGTAAGGTGGATATTCCTGCCTTTACAGACAAAGAAATTGAGGTTCATGGAAATTAAGTAACTTTCCAAGTCACATAGTCAACTAGTGGCAGAACTGGAAATCAACAGCAGGTCTGTCTGGCCCAGAGTATATTTAATCTCTGTGTGGCTAACCTGCAAATAAAATGTTGGGATGAATCCTAGTTTCTCTGCTTCCTCTCATTGACCTCTTGTCTGAATCTTTCTCATAGCCTCCCTGTGACTCTGTCTCTGATGTATTCTTTTCCTGTAGCAGAACAGTGAAGCATAGTCTCAGAAGGTAGAGAGAATGTGGAGGTAGATGTCTGAGAATTAATTAAGTAAGGATTTCTCTGGCTGGGTTGGTTTAGATAATGTGGGAGAAAAACCTCAGCCAATTCATCCTACAGAGCTGAACTAGCAGAAAGGTGGGTGGCACCAAATTTGGGCATATAAAGAAGTAACAACAAGAAACTGCTTGCATCACCAAGTCCAAAGAGTAAAATGTTGGTAGTACTTATGGAAATGAAGAAAGAATTGGAGTCTGTAAAATAAATTGAACACGGAGGTCCAAATTTCAAGACTACTGGACAAGACAGAGTTATCACAGGGTCTAAAGATCCCAAATTGTGTGATTTGCATTAGGCTTAGGGATTCTATCTGTTTACCTTTCCCTGCAAGAGCTTCATTTTCCCAAATGTTCAGCCATTCATTACCTCTTGAACTATTTACAACCCTTCCTAATTCCTCCTTTCACTGCCTGGCTCTAGGTTTCCATCTTCTTAAAGCCAGTGGCCTGGAGATGAACACACATGCATAGCTTGTCTCCACATGATTAGCCAGGACTTTGACTTCGGTCACTCTGCTGTATGTAATCTCCTTACCTTTCCAGATCTACCTTCCATCCTTTTTTTTTTTTTAAGAAAGAATTTTTAAAGATTTATTTTATTTATTTATTCACACAAGAACTGGGGTATAGGCCAGAGGTGGTAGTGGTGAGAGGATTCACCAGAGTGGGGAGAAAAACAGGCAGATCTACTGAAATACTCTGCTGAGGGGAATAATGGGCGAGACAGGAGAGGTCTGCTGCGCTATGTGGTTTAGCTCCCTGGCCGGGGATTGAACTTGAGCTGCAGTGGCTGCCAATAGCTTCATAGTACTGAGACTTAACCCCTTGCGCCATTAGGGAGATCCTCCTCTCTATCCTTTTTAACCTTTCTGTGTTCTAGGAGGTTAACCTCTGGGCAGTGTCACACAGCCTCCCTTCCTTCCCAGCTTTCCCTTAGAATAAGCCAATGGAAGGTGCTGGTAGAGTTGTGGACCATGTGAGTTCTTCTCCCTAAAACAATGGCTCCCGTGGCAACAGTAGCCCTCTCCTTTGCCTGCAGCTCTCACCAAGTTCCAGTAACTGTCCCCTCAGGTTTAAGATTGTTATGAATCCCTGAGTTCTTCCCCATCCCTTGTTGATTTGTTAACCCTGCCCACAACTTTGTACATCATCCCTTCATTAAACCAGGCCCATTTAGCTATAAGTGTACCTTCTGTTTCCTTTAGATCTTGCCTGTATTTTCCACTTTGTAATTTCTTTTAAAGCTATTCCTGATTCTGTTTATGATCAGCATAAGTCACCTTAGTCCAGACTTTCAATATAATATACCAGGGACTGTGGCAATTCTCCCCACCCCCAATCTTTTGCAGGTCTCTTAATTAATTTAGTGTCTCCTTTCACTTAATTCTACTGCCAGATTGATATAAGTAGTTCTTTAGATAGATTCTTTGCTTCCTCAAACACTTTCAATAGTAGCTCCCAATTGCCTATTGAAGAAAATAACAAACTATTTAAGCTTGACATTCAATCCTCCATTACTTGGCCTTTCAACCTGTTCACCTGCAAAGCCCTCTCTTCCAGGTTTTTGAACCATCCCTTCAATATGCCTGGTACTTTATTTCTACAAAACCTTTTCTCATGCTCTACCACCTATAAAGACTCCTCATTCTCTTCATTGGTGAAATTCCAATTATCCTTCAGTTTTTGAGCTCAAGCCTCAACTTTTCTGTAAAGTTCTTTCTAGACATTAGCTAGTAGAAATGGTCTCTCCTTCCCCAAAACAGTGGTCTTTATTGTCTGTTCTATTTTTTTTTAACAGCTAATCATGCCATGCCTATGAAATATGCTACCTAAGTCTCCCGGTTACACTGTGTGTAGCTATGGGAACCTGAGGCAAGTTTCTTCCCTTCCTCTTTCTTTCTTTTTTTTTAGATTTATTTATTTATTTATTTATTTATTTATTTATTTATTTATTTATTTATTTATACAAGGAGTGGGGTACAGGCCAGATGCGTGGGAGGGTGAGAGGATTCACCAGAGACAGAGCGGGGAGCAGAACAGGCAGACTGACGAAATACACTGCTGAGGGGAGCAGCGAGCGCAACGGGAGGGGTCTGCTGCACCATGTGGGATTCTCACCAGCTGGCCGCAGGGATCAAACCTGTGCTGCAGAGGCTGCGGACAGCTTCACAGCGCTGCGCTCAGCCGCCCGTGCCACCAGGGGAGGCCCTTGCCTCCCTCTTTTCTTCCCTCCTTCCTCCTGCTCCATTTATTGACCATCAGCCATGCTGGGCACTGTGCTGAGAGCTGAGTTGTACTGGTGACCAAACTGACATGAATTCTATTCATAGGGCACTTAAAGTCTAGTGAGCAAGATAGCCACTAGTCAGATAAATTGACAAGTAACTCAAGACCGCAGTGGGGAAGAGCTGTGGAAGAGGGGCATGTGGTACAGTTATTGCTTGTAACCTGGTTTGGAGTGAGATGGGTGGAGACGAGGTGAGACAGAGCCGAGGCTGACAAGCAGTAGGGAGAGTTCCATGGAAGGAGCAGCAGATACAAAGCCCAGTGTGACTGCCCATCCCTTGACAGCTTGTGTCATGGCTTCAGTTTGTTACTTGAACGGTGCTTTCCATGTATTGGAACTTACTAAGTATTTGCTGATTTTTCTAGAATCTTAGGTCAAATGTGTTTTAATACCATCCCTTGTATAGTACCTGTCATTGTGAAATGTTTTCTGCAGTGATTGTTCTCTTTGGAATCTGTTGTTAATGTTATCATTTTATATCTGGTCTTTAGTGTATGCTACTTGTTATTTTGTTTCTTCAGAAGTTGGCTAGTTTCTTCAAACTTGACGGGACTATATATTCCATTCTATGTCTTATGATTTATCCCAAACCAGGGTTTCCTAAATATTGTGTGTATTGCTGATAAGAGATCCAGTTTTCTTTCCTCCTTCCTTGGCCCTTCCCTCTTGGGGAATAGGAGTCAATGATGTGGGATCTGTTGTTTCTTATCACAGAGATTTAAGAGCTGGATGTTGACCCAGGCTAGCAAGAGGTAAAAGCAGAAGAGAAATCTACCTAGAGAGCTGGGGCTGGAAGTGCCCACAACTAAATGAGCAGGATCCTTGAACCTTGAGGAAGTTGCGTGTATGACACTGGACATAAGAAATGCTTGAGAGGCCTCCCCTGGTGGCGCAGCAGTTGAGTGCTGGGCTGCAAAGCTGCCCACAGCCTCTGCAGCGCTGGTTCAATCCCCGGCCACTGGCGAGGGTCCCACATGGCGTGCAGACCTCTCCTGCCGCGCCCGCTGCTCCCCTCAGCAGT